GCAAGGCTATTCAATAAGACAAAACAAAACAAAACAAAAAGTGGTTTATTTCTTCATCTGGTGAAGCCTAAACTAAGTTAATTAGATCATTCAATTAACCAAAATATTTTATTCTTCAGTCATCCTGGTTAGGATTTTACTATATTTTGTTGTATTTTACTTTCTTACTTATTTATAGCTTCTAGGGTATGTGCTATGGTGAATTGTGTAAGACTGTTGAATCACAGACCTGTACCTCTGAAACAAATAATACATTATATGTTAAAAAAAAAAAAAAGATAATAGGAAGGGAAGAATGAAGGGGGGGTAAATTGGAGGGGGAGATGAACCATGAGAGACTATGGACTCTGAGAAACAAACTGAGGGTTCTAGAGGGGAGGGGGGTGGGGGGATGGGTTAGCCTGGTGATGGGTATTAAAGAGGGCATGTATTGAATGGAGTACGGGGTGTTATATGCAAACAATGAATCATGGAACACTACATCAAAAACTAATGATGTAATGTATGGTGATTAACATAACGTAATAAAATAAAATTTAAAAAAAAGATCAGATTTACAGCATCTAGTTGCAATAAAAACAAGAATAAAGAACCATACCATAGAACAGCCTTGAAGGTATAACTAAAAGCTAACTTGTACATTTCAAAAATTATTAACTCATGTTCTAAAATAAGAATATGGCCCTAAATTAATTTGCTAGGCTTCAGTCTCTAGCCATGCTCCTTTTATTTTATGTACCTGTTTGAAATGTCTACAGACTATTTTATTAGAAAAGGAGCAGGGGCTTCATTACAGAATCCAGCATTTCAAATACAACAGCTAACATTTATTGAATGCTGAGTATTATGCAAAGCACTATATGTATATTATTTAATTCTAACAAAACCTTATTAGGTAGATACGATTATTTCTGTTCTTCTGGAAGCATCCTTCTTATAGCCATCCATCTTCCTGCTCCAGTATGCACTGGTTTTTCTGTAGATCTTACACTGTTGTTATTCTGAAAGTTCCCTTCCCCCATCATTTGGGGGATCCTCTTTTCTTGTCTCCCATCTTGAATCTCCTGCATCTTCCCTTATTATGATGTACTCCCTTATTTTGGTGGAATATATCCTCTGTTACCTTACTAAGAACACCAGTGTCTGAAAATGTCTTTATTCTACCTTCATTATTAAAGAAGATATTTTGGCTGGGTATAGAATTCAATGTAGGAAGTATTTTTCTCCCACAATTTAGAAGACATTTTTCTCTTGTCTTTCAGTTTTGTGTATAATCTGTTTTGTGTCTCACCAGCTCTAAAAGCTTAGAATTTCTTTATCTGTGATACTCTGAAATATCACAGTGATATGCCTTGCTGTGCATGTTTTTTCATGCATTTTGCCTCATACTCAGTGGGACCTTTCACTCTCAAAATTCATTTGCTCGAGTTTAAGGGAAATTTCTTAAATGCTTCTTTGATAATTTCTTCCCTTTTCTTTTTTCTCTCTGGAATGCCTGTTATTTAGATGTAGACAAATTTGTCCTGTAATTTCCTTATTTGGGGAATAAGTCTTTTCTTTTGTCTTTTAGTCCTACTTTTTGAGAAATTTCTTTAACTCTATTTTCCAACTCTATATTAAACTTTTTATTACAGTTATATTTTTAATTCCCAACAGCTCTTTTTTATTCTCTAAGTGCTTCTTTTTTATAAGTTCCTATTCTGTTTGACAGATGTTTCATCTTTTACCTCTGAGAATGTTAATTATAGTTTTTCTAAAGTATTTCTCCTGTAGTCTGACTTGATTCTGATTCCTCTGACTCCCTTCTTTCTATTTGTTTCTTGGGGGGGATTTATGTCTCTGTTTTTCATGTTATAGACTGTCCTCAAATATTTAGTGGTCCTTCACTGTCCATAATGTATAAGATTCCAATGTTTATTGACTATTGACATGATGCACTGAGAAAAGTGCCAATATTACTTTTATGGTATTCTTGCAAAAAAATGCATAACCTAAATTCAACCATGAAGAAACATTACATGAACCCAAATTGATGGACATTCTATAACTAGCCATTATTCTTCATAAGTGTCAAGATTATGAAAGAAAAAGAGACTGAGGGTACTTTCCAGATTAAAGGACATTAAGGAGACATGATAACTAAGTGTAGTGTGTGATCCTGAATTGGATCCTGGAACAAAATTAATGGGACAGTTGGTGAAATTTGAGTAAGATCTGTAGATTAGCTAATACTGTTACTGGTTTTTTTTCATACACTTCAATAGCAAACAATCTGATTTAAAAAATGAGATGTTCTAAATAGACATTTTCCCAAAGAAGATTTACATATGGCCAATAGACCCATGAAAAGATGCTCAACATTACTCATCATCAAGGAAATGCAAATGAAAACCACATCAGATATCACCACACACCTGTCAGAATGGCTATTATAAAAAAGACAAAAAATAACAAGTGTTGGTGAGGATGTGTAGAGAAAGGAACACTTGTGCATTGTTAATAGAAATATAAATCTGTAGAGCCAATAAGGAAAACATTATGGAGATTCCTCAAAAAATTAAAAACAAAATTACCATATGATCCAGCAATTTCACTGCTAGGTATTTTTCCAAAGAAAATGACAACACTAAACTTCAAAAGATATCTGCACCTCCATTGCACTGAAGCATTATTTACAATAACCAAACTATAGAAACAATGCAAGAGTCCATCAGTGGATGAATAAAGAAAATGGTTTTAATCATATATATGGTTTTAAATACATATATATACACATATATATGGAATATTATTCAGCAAAAAAGAATGAAATTTTGCCATTTACAACAACATGGATGGACCCTGAAGGTATTATGCTAAGTGAAATAAGTGAGACAAAGACAAATACCATATGATTTCACTTGTGGAATCTTAAAAAAAAAAAAAAAAAACTCTTGAATACAGGGAACAAATTGGTAGTTTCCAGAGGAAGAGGGTGGGAGTTAGTGAAAAGGGTAAAGCTAGTCAAAAGGTATAAACTTGTAGTTAAGATAAATTAGTTATGAGAGTGTAATGTACAGCATGGCAACTATAAATAAAACTGTACTGCATTAAAGCTGCTAAGAGAGCAAATCTTATAAGTTCCCATCACAAGAAAAAAAACTATGGTGAAAGATATTAAATAAATTTATTGTAGTGATCATTTTGCAATATATACAAATATTGATTCATTATGTTGTATACATGAAAGTAATATAATGTATGTTTATTACACATTAATTAGAAAAAAGGTATGTGGATGGATACATGTAGGAAAATATCTGAAGGAAGTTTATTGAACAGTTAACCCTGCTTCACTCTGGGAACTTGGATTGGAGGGACAAGGTTTTTCATAAGTTATTTTAAACACTTTGATAAGTATTATGGGTGACAGACACTGTTATGTATGTGGGTTTTTATTTACAATTAAAAACTTAAGAATAAAAGGTTAAATATATGAAAGTGTTAATATTTCCTCTAAAAAAATAGTATTCCTGGTTTTAATCATTGTGCTATGGTTATGTAAGATGTTAATGTTTGGGGAAGCTGGCTACTTTTTTCTTCCAATATTTTTCTCCTATTCTCCCTCCCTCCCTCCCTCTCTCCCCTCCCCTCTCTTTCTGGAACTCCAATTACACATACATTAGACTGCATGAAATTTTTCCGCAAGTCCTCTTTATTTTTCATATTATATAAATTCTATTGGTGTATCTTAAAGTTCATGGAACTTTTCTCCAGTCATATGTTAAGCCCATTTAGTGATCTTTAATTCAGATATTATATTTTTCAACTATATGTATTTCAAAATATACATTTGATTCAGTTTTATAGTTTCCATTTCACTACTGAGATTCATTATGACCTTATTTTCTTTTTAAGTCCTTGAACATCTTTATAATAGCTGCTTTAGTTTCCCTGTCTGCTAATTCCAAGATCTAGCTTATCTTGTGGCTAATTTCTATGAATGACTTTTTCTTTTTTTTTTTTAAGGATTTTATTTATTTATTTGACAGAGAGAGACACAGTGAGAGAGGGGACAGAAGCAGGGGGAGTGGGAGAGGGAGAAGCAGGCTCCCTGCTGAGCAGGGAGCCCGGTGCGGGGCTCTATTCCAGGACCCTGGGATCATGACCTGAGCAGAAGGCAGACACTTAACGACTGAGCCACCCAGGCGCCCCGAATGACCTTTTCTTTTGATACTGGATCACATTTTTCTGTTTCTTCCCGTGTTTAGTAACTTTTCACTGTATACTGGACAGTGTGTGTGGTACATGATTGAGACCGTAAATTTTACCATCTTTCCCTGAAGAGTGTTGACTTTTGTTCTAGCAAGTTGTTAACTCAGCTGAAATCCAAATGTTATCTCCCCTTAGGTGAACATCAGCTGAAATGTATGTTCAGTGGTCCAGCTGCTGCCTTTCATAGATACAGTTCAGGGATCAGCTAAGAATTTGGGTGAAGTTTATGTATAGATTTGGAGGGACTTCTGTGGCTTCTTTCTTGCAGAAATTGTCTCCCTCACTTTCTAGTTATGCTGTTAACCTCAAACTAGGTCTTCATACTCCTCAAGTGAGTAAAATGTCAGATTCCTGCTTGAGTTCTAATCATCCCACCATATGAACTGGAAGTACTATCAGGTAAAAAGCCATGGAAATACGAATCCTACACAATACAGTTTCTTCTTTCAAAGAGCGACTCCCCTTCAGTTTCTGTTTGCTTGTGGTAACTCTAGAGTGCTTTCAAATAGTTTTTATATTTTTTCAGGGTATATAATTATTATCTGCAAAAGGATCAGTCTAATATACTCTATCCTGCCATTATCACAAATTGTACCATATTCCCTTTTATTTTCCATTGATATTGCATAGGATTAAACAAAAAAAAGACTTCTACATTTTTTTGTGAATGATGGCAATAGTTCATCAATTTTTTCTAAAAACATTGAGCATATTACTAATCTTATTTTTTCTTTTTTTTCTTGTAGACAAGAGATGATTTCCTAGGTCAAGTGGATGTTCCTCTTTATCCATTACCGGTTGGTATAGATGTCCATGATTTTAATTTTTATGCTTATTTTTTTTCTAATAAATACTTACAGATGCACAATATATAGTAAATGTAAATATTTGATTTGTAAAATGTATACTGCTATTATTCCTTGAACATATTATTTTCTGAAAACTCATCTCAATTTTCCATTTTAATTTTATTTCCAAGATTCCCTTACATGAACCCCAGTAAGAAATAGAGAGTTGCTGAGGTTGGTTGACATCAGGAAAGCATGTCTGAGGAAAATCAGTTTGGAAATATTCTGCTGAATATGTAGAATGGGGAGAGCTCAGTCTCACAGAAAGAACCTAGGATCATTTATGACAATATGGGCATGAAACTGAATGTGGACCAAGCATATTACCACAATGAAGGAAGACTCGACTCAGGAAACATTTCATAACAAAACACCGTTGGGCCAGGTTTCTGACATGGAGGTTGAGAAAAAAAAGTAAAAAGTAATGATAATACAGGTTGAATTTTGTAGATTAAGGTGGTGTCTCAAGTAGAAAAGGTAGGAGGAAAAGCCATTTTGTTTTGAAAAAGGATAAATTTATCTTTGGCCATAATGAATTTCAATAGAAAACAGGAAAACTGGAAGCCTAAAGTGGGCAGCCAACAGAAGTATAAAAATCAGTTGTGTAGAGAAAGAAACTGGGAGGATTGAGAGTTACCACATCGAGGTAACAGCAGAATCTCTGAGAATGATGGGCTGTCCAAGTAAGAGAGATGAGAGCATCAAAGGCCAGACACTGAGCCTCAGTCGGTGTGGGTCAGTCAGAGGAGAAAAACAAAGACAAGAAGAAATGAAAAAGCAAACAAGTAAAGTAATGTCTTGAGAATTTAAGGAAAGAGTTCCAAGACCAAATGGGTAGTTCATGCGAAATGTAAGAAGTAAAGAATAATAAAAGCAAAGGGCTGTTGAACTTGATAAGAAAGAGAAGTAATACTTCTTTACTGTATCAGTCTTTTGAGATATTTATTGGCTCTCCACAGTTTTTAGAGATTACAAGCTTTTGGTAATATATTTAATCCAGTCTCACTTTCCAGGCCATTTCCTTTTTTGTTTTCCTGGAATGGTGTCTATGCCCTAACCACGCCCACCTGCTGCCATTGCATGTATTCCATATTCCTTTGGGGCACCAACATGCTAACCACTCTACTTTGTTTCCGCTTCCCTCCATTGGCTCCTCAGTGCACCTGCTCAGCCTGTTTGGTACTGAGGTGTGACTGCCGCAAGTCCTAGGGTGCAGAAAGGTGAAAGCCCTGTCAAGCTACCAGTTATAACCGTTTAATGAGCTAAAGCCACATTTTTCTCTCTTCTAACTTCAGTTATGGCTTAGATCATAGTTCATGAATATTCCTTAGAAGTACATGTTTTTGGTATTTATAGATATATCTTGAAAACCCACTGTTTTATTCTAGACAGAAAATCCAAGAATGGAGAGACCATATACGTTTAAGGATTTTGTTCTTCACCCAAGAAGGTCAGTAAATATAAAATGATAACATATTAATTTTTTTAATTTCATTATACGTTATAGTAGCCTCTTTGGAAATTCAAAGTTTAAACCTTTGTAAATAAGCTACCTCGAAATATTATTTTTTAAAAGCTTTACTGTTATTTCTGATTGAAAAGTAATATATGCACAGCACAAAAAATTCTGAAAACACAGAAAAGTGTTTTTCATACTTCCTAGGAAAGACTTGTCCCCATAATATTTATCAGATTAGAAGGTGGAAATTTGTTATTATTGTTTTATTATTCCTTTTATATCTTAAAGTATATGTAATTTTGTCATACTGTCGTTTTAAAAATCACAAACATTAGTTCCACCAAAAGCAATATCCAACAATCTGCGCAAAACCAATTTCAGAAAAACCTAACTACATCTTGCATATGTTAATAAAAAATATTTCAGAAAACCCAAACATTTAGAGAAAATAACATGAGCAAAGACTAGAATTTAAAACCTAAATAGCATGTTCATAATTCCATTTTCCTAAACTGAATTATTTGATTTTGGTTAAAATTTTTAAGTTTAAGCTGTAAATAAAACTCCTTTGATCATCTGTACCACATAGTCAAGTAAAATCTAGTGAAGACATGTATGGATTTACTGTGAAAAAATTCCGTCAGAATAACGAAGTACATCTGTACAACGATATTTGTCTTGTTTTTAAAACTAGAAAATACATTTGAAAGATATACTGTGGGAACTTAGTAAAATTTTTCATTTAAAAGCATTTAATTGCTCTGTAATATAAATTATTAAAGCAAAATAAAAGGGACAGTGCTCTCTTAATATTTACTTTCTATAAGAGAAGTCATATATTTAACTTCTGCAGAAGTCTTAGAATGTAAATCTCTTTTCTTCCTTTAGTTTTAGACTGCTTGTGGTATCTGCCTACCAAGAATAAATAAATATTTTCTTCTCTTATTTGATTGCCCCAGTAGCCTGCTTTTCATTTTGTCAAATGCTTTCTAGTATCTTTAGCTTTAAAAAATATAATTTACATCTTCTGTCTGCACTATATATCACTGCAAGTGCAGGAAGAACTTTAAATCAATAGAAAATGTACTACATTCTTAGACTTTCTGAGCCCCATTAAGTCCAAACCGACAGGCTTATTGTCTAGTTGAAAAGACGTGAGGGGCCCCTGCGTGGCTCAGTCAGTTAAGTGGCTGACTGGATTTTGGTTGGGTCATGATCTCAGGGTCCTGGGATCGAGCCCTGTGTTGGGCTCCCTGCTCAGTGTGGAGTCTGCTTCTCCCTCCCTCTGCTCCTCTCTCCACTCTCCCTCTCTCTCTCTCTCTCTCTCTCTCTCTCTCTCTCAAATGAATAAATAAATAAATAAATAAAACCTTTTAAAAAAAGACATGAAACATATCACTATAAAGAAACGCTTGTAAAAACCACTATCTGAGCAAGTTTTCTGTGCATGTCTGTTATAGCAACAAGTCAGTGTTCACTCCCCCTTAAAAGTAGAGACACAAGCCTCATTAGTGACCTTGGAAATAAGCATCAGGGATTCTATTGACCACTCAGGAAAGGTACAGTTCCCAAATTCATGAGAACCGTACAAAGAACACCTAAGAGATTAGGTGGGGTGGGGAAAGGAATATCTCTTGAATAAAGAATAAAAGATGGGACTTTTTTTGTCAAGAAAGAAAAGGGGTAATGGGTTACATGGCTGATATCTATAAAAATCACCAAAATATCTAAACAGGAAGTAAGGACAAGGAAAGATTTCTTAAGTAAGTAGGATGCTAGAATTGTTGGGGGCCATACACAGATTGAATTTTTTTTAGGTATTAACACAACGTACAGCAGTCTTTAGCTTGGACAACTCATTATTCGAAGAGGTAATACGGGATACATTATGAAAATAGAGTAGATGAATTAATGTATGGTAGATTCAAACAGCTGTCAAAGAAAGACAGTAGGTCTCCGACAGTTAGCAGGCCTTGCCCTCCACTTTCCTGTCCTCCTCTACAGTCTGACTAGATTAGTATCCCCAAAGCATATCTCTGAGGATGCCTCTCCTTATCCCCCGAATTCTCTGGCTTCACAGTGTGTGCAAAGTAAAATCGAAAGTTCTCTTGTTTCACATGGACCGCATCCTCTGGATCATCCCTACCTCCTCCATGTATCCTGTAGGCCAGCCAAGCCCGACGATTGCCATTCCTTTCATTGATCCCCAGCTTTCCCATCCGTTTGCTCATTTTTTACTTTTCTCCACTTACGTGCTTTTCCCTTCCTTGCCACAGATCAAAATCCTCCCCAGTCTGCTGGCGCCCACTCAAATGCAGCTGCTCGCTCACCTTCTCCCTGATCTGTCACTCACACTTCCTTACTATCTTATTTATTTCATAACTTTTATGTTTGTTACATTTTGTCCTCCACTCACTCCCTTGCCTAGATGTCTTCTGTCCTAGAGCTTGTCTTTGGGTCTCCTCTGGTAGCTAGTAGGTATTCAGTAAATTCTTGTTAAATGAATGCTTTTCTTCTCAAAGTTTTGCGAATAATTATTTTCTTTCCTACAGTCACAAATCAAGAGTTAAAGGTTATCTGAGATTAAAAATGACTTATTTACCTAAAACCAGTGGCTCAGAAGAAGATAACACAGAACAGGCTGAGGAATTAGAGGTGAGATCTTATAAATATTTGGTTCAACTGAAAAGAAAATATCTCATTTCTTATTTTACTGTACTTTGAAGAAAAAAATAAGTTTATTCAATGAAGTTAATGTGTGCAATAAAAATTATTTACATGGGCATTTGTTTATTTTACCCAAGCATTCATTAAACATTTCTTCCTTCTAAGGACATTTCTGTAGAATGAATAGCCATTATTGATGGCATTCTTAAAGGTTAGTAAATAGAGAATACAATGTTTATAAATGAAAGCATTTATTGTAATTAAGTCATTAACTCTTTCTGTTTTTTTAGAGTTTTCTAAAACCATGTCCTACTCCCCTCCATTAAAGTAAGAATACAATTTACTATTTGTAAGTTAAATATATGGAAATTTCGAGAAGACTCTACTAATTAGGAACTCTTTTATGAAATGTAATTCTTGTTACTTTTCCTCTCATGGTTGGGGTGAGGATGGGAGGGCTCAGAGGAAAGGAGGGAATGAGAGAGGGAAAGAAGTCAAGTGATCTAGGAAGAGGCCATAATTATCTGGGGCAAATAGAATTTAACAATTTTCATGGATGACAGGATAAGAAGAAGCCCAAGTCAAGTATTTGGGCAGAGCTACGTACATCGAGGGTAAGTGAAGAAGAGGCAGAGAGCATGTATTTGGAATAGAATTGGATGGGGATTTGGAGGCTGAAATTCTTGTCCCAAGCTCTGCTACGAATGAGCTAAGAGACTGTGTGAATTGTTGAAGGTCTCTGAACCTCAGGCTCTTCATTTGTAGAATGACAGGATTGTACAGATGACCTCTAGGGTTTCTTCCAGCAGAAAAATTTGTGATTTGAAAAGGGGACCCTAAAACACCTGCCTCTTGACATTCCCACTGAAGCAACATTACTGAAAGCACACAGTGTATTGGCATCAATTTGCTTTGAAGAGTTTTCTTGTGTGTGCCTTCCTCAACAGTGATGCCTCTTTGGCTGAGGGTCTGGTTAAGCCTCCAGAAGAACTGTAAAGGTGAGGGGCCTCCCCCAGCACTGGACAGTACCTCACATACCCACATACTTGAGAAAGAAAGCTCGAGAACAAGGCATGCTTTTGCAACAGAGCTTTCTGGGAATTTTTTGAGTAGGCTCCAACACAGAGCTTGAACTCAAACCTGAGATCAAGACCTGAGCTGAGATCAAGAGTCAGACATTTAACTGAATGAGCCACCCAGGTGCCCCTCTGGGAATTTCTTATATGCACTAAGAAGAGTTTACTTTATGGGAAAATCTGTAATAATAGAAGGAAAGAACTTTTTTCTTTAAATCACAGAATATAGTTAGCCCTTAGTTTGGCAATCAAAAAACATGGCATCCTCTCTTAAGTGTATGTTTGCTTATTTGATTACCTTTTCTTTTTTAGTTTTTCTCTGATTTATCATATAATAATCACTTTTTTAAAAATTTTAGGTATTTATTGGGTCAAAGTCTCTCTGCCTGGCATTTTGGTGCACAGGGTATCTTGCATAATGGAATTCTGTTTGAGATGAAGGATGCCTGCCATAAAGAAAATTCTTTATTTAGTAACTAAAAAAAAATTTAACAGCATTTCATTATTTAGGAACCTGCTCCAAGTTTTGCCCACACACACATATCATAGGTACCTTATTCACAGTTCAGTTCCTGTGGGTAGAGTTGCTTTGCTTCATTTTGTGGTCTCAGGTCTCAGTGTTTGAATTCCCTCAGAATGCACCTTATAATTTCAGTAGATGTAAGCATGTAGGAGTTTATTTATGAAAGGCCCTAGGAATTTAAACACATGAATCTATGCTTATTTATCTTCTGTGTAGCTAATGACCAGAGAAATCTTGTCTTTGACATCTAATTTGTAACTGAATATATAAAATTCTATTTAAAGAAAACAGTTGTCATTTTCAAAAGGGGCTCACACTTAGGCAACCTGTATTCCTTAGTATATCAAAGTCTGGCTATAACAGATTAGTATTTAACATTTGATTTTTGTACCCTTTGCAACTTTAGATTTAGTTGTATATATTTTGCAAGACTAACATTAATGTGTGTTGTAGCTCTGAATACTTTCTTTCTGATCCTCTTTGACTCCATTAAATTGTTGGCAATTGCATACTAGCTTTCAAGTTAGTAATTAAATAACATTCATTGATACTTAGAAAATTATTTTGTGAAGAATATTAGCTGATATATGTTTCGTAAGGAGGCATTCTATACAAAAAAAATGAAAACTCAGTTTTTCTAAACAATATTCAAATGTACAACTGTACTTCCTAGAACTTGAACCAGGTTTTTAAAAATTAGGCCTTTACCTTCTCAAGTTTCCTTAGATAACATAAATTCACTAAGGAGACCTTTAGGAGAGAAATCTTTAAGATTTTAAAGAAATAATCTTGTGGTACCATTTTCCTAGCTCTAAACATTTTTACAATCCTTTACAGCAGTAGTGAGGACCCTCTTATTAATAAATTTTATTAATCTACAGAAAAATAATCAATGACCATATTTTTAAAAACTTAACCGTTTTTCAAGAGAGTGAAATACAAAAATTCAATTCACCTACTTTTAAAATGGAGACCAGAGAAATAAAATTTGATATAATATATACAAGACTAATTTTTAAGTCTGTAGATCCTACACTATGATCATTTAAAGGAATGGAAAGGAGAAAGAGAAGGAAGGTAAACACAGTTGGAGAGAGAAAGAGGATAAAGGAAAAAGGAGAGAAATAGAGCAATAAAAGAAAGCAAAATTAAAGAGATGTCGGTTCCATAGAAGAGGTAAAAAGGAGAAAAAATAAGACTAAGAAAGAAAGGGAGTGAATTTACTTCCCATCCAGATCCCTTTTTCCAGAATTCTTCCTGTCTTCCTCTCTCGCTGGCCCCTCTGCCCTCCTCACCTTCTGTCCTGTCTCAGTCTATGGCCGATAACCCTCCCACCAGACCAGCCAGAGAGATCACCCTTGCTGCAGAAACCCCTTTCCTTTTCTCCAGGCTGCCAGAAAACATTCCTTTCCTTCTCAGCTCTCCTCCCTTTCTTTTCAGAGTCAGCCTTCCAACATAAAAAAATTCCCCTCCCCCTTCTAAGCCATCAGCTGGCCTGGCACACAACCGTCCTCCAGTGCTAGATCCCCACCCAGTGCCTCGAAAGAAAGACTGTGTATATTAAGGACATTATTTTTTTGCCTGTTATTATGGTACCAAATACGTTTCCCAGTTTGTCATTTTTTTTCCACTTTGATTTGGTAGTTTTTGCCATGTACAAATTTGGGGGTTTTGTAATCAAATTTGATAATCTTCTCTTTCATACTTAAAGGCTTCCCCAGTCTTGGAACATATTCTTTAAATTTCAAGTTTTGTTGTAATACATGTTGGTTTTACTTTGTAGCATTTAAACATTGTTCAATCTGTAACATCCCGGTAGAAGGTATGAGGTAGCAGCCCACATACTTTTTTTCCTATTTTCCCACAAATTTGAACTGTCTTTATCATATCCTAAAGTCCTATAAATCTGAGTCCTTCTGGACTTTCTGATTCATTCTGTTGAGCTGTGTGTACCTCAATGTTGCACAGCTTTAATTGTTGTAGTGTATCATATATTTTATTCAATAGGGTTAATCACTCATTCTTCTGTTTTTAGAACTGTGCTGGTTATTCTTGCTTGTTTGTGTGTCTGTTTGAACTTGAGAATTGCCTTGTCCCATTATTTATAAAAATCTGTAAAGTAGGGGTGCCAGGGTGGCTCAGTAGGTTAAGTGTCCTGACTCTTGATCTCAGCCCAGATCTTGATCTCAAGGTTGTGAGTTCAAGCCCCATGTTGGGCTCCATGCCCAGTGTGGAGCCTACTTTAAAAAAAAAAAAAATCTGTAATGTAGTTTTATCAGAATCTTGGACACTTTATATATTAACTTGGGGAATATTGACACCTTTGTGAGACTGAGTCTTCCTAACCAAGATCGTATTACGTCTTTTCATTCATTCAGGTCTCTTTTTATGTCTCTTTAGGAGAATTTTTAAGTTTTCTTCACTCATTTATTTCTGCTTCACTAGCCATATTGGTATTTAGTAGGACCTTTTATTTATTTATTGGCATTTAGTATTGGTATTTAGTAGGCCTTTTCTGTTAGGAAGTTTCTTATGTAAAAACATGCCATTAACTCTTGCTACCCTTCCAAGTAATTCCTTAACCTAACTACCCTAGTTTAGGCTTCATGTACATATGCCCCTCACTAGTACCAGAGGAAATTTCCAGTGCTTTCCTGGCACTTAAATAAAACAAACAAAACAAATGAAATTTTATTTCTTCGGCTACTTTATGACCTGACCAAAATGCCTTTCCATAATCCAGAAAGAGAAAAGTCAGATGTGAGAATCATAATGGCTTTTCAGTTGCTAGAGAGTTCATTGTAGCAATTATTTCTAAATTCTTTGCCTTTCCCTGTCAAACCTACACATATTTGGGCTTCATCTAGTGATTTTTTTTCAGGTCTCACTTAGTTACTGATTTCTACCATAACAAGCTCCTTTCTCTATGGGAAAGACAATGCCCAATAAGACAATATTCTTGTCCATTCATTTGCTTGTAATTTAGAGAATAAACTAAGGTTACAGGAGTTTAAACTGTGTTTCTCAGTGCTGCCCATCATTGTTTGTTTATTTAAAATTTTTTCTGTCCTGGGGCACCTGGCTGGCTCAGTAGATGGAGCATGCAACTCTTGATCTTGGGGTTGTAAGTTCATGCCCCGCATTAGGTATAGAGACTACTAAAGAATAAAATCTTTAAAAAAATTAAAATTTTTTCTGTCCTTTTTTTCCTATTAAGTGTGTTTTAAAACTTTTTTGAAAAATGTAAAAATGTTAAAAGTTTCAAGCAAAATTTACATGTTATCATTTTGCAGAAAAAAAGTCTTCATTATCATAAAATGTTCATATTATGGTCTTAAAAGTTGATACTGCAAATTTTTCCGTGCATAATTTCTGGAACTGGATATGCTAATCTCTTTTTAAATTTCCTTCAGCATAATTTATAAGGTTAAAAAAGTTAAGCATAAACTTAATTGTTACCACTCTGTTTTTCAGCCTGGCTGGGTTGTTTTGGACCAACCAGATGCTGCTTGCCATTTGCAGCAGCAGCAAGAACCTTCTCCTCTACCTCCAGGATGGGAAGAGAGGCAGGATATTCTTGGAAGGACCTACTATGTAAACCATGAATCTAGAAGAACACAGTGGAAAAGACCAACCCCTCAGTATGTGCTGGTGGCTTTTACATTTGTGTATGAATACATTTTGACCATTAATTTTCATTTTGAAGTTGTGTCTCAAATGGGTTCATAGTAGTATAGGGATCCATAAGCTGTAAAAATGTGAGGAGGATTTTTATGATCCAGGGCTTTAAAAATGCCTTCTTAGCTGTTTCTTTTTTTAAATGATTTGATAATATTCAAAATTATTGGAGCCACAGATACCACCCTTCTAATTGCTTCTTTATTTTAAATTATTTTGTAGCCACAAAGGATGGGTTTTTTTCTTTAGACTGGTTTAGAAAATCTTGGAAATTTTTTGTAGTTTGTTACTAAAATATAATAAAATGTTAATTTCTACAGTACACTATTTTTAAATATAAATTACTTATAAAACATAAAGGACTGAATAACAAGGGTCTTTTGTTAAACACTCATTTGCCAATCTTGTCAGTGCATACACAATTTTCAATGCACACAGATCAAGGATAGAAAGAATGACCTTTAAGGTATTCTAATTTATGTCTTCTCAGTGACATTTTTCTTTGATTATCATCAGACTGTATTTCTAAATATACATTTACAAATGTCCCATTACTCACATTTATTATCAAATGCCCTTCCATTTCTCCTCCCTTATGGCCTTATGAAGGCTTTCTTTAGTCTTCTACTTTTTGACAGAGACTTAAAATTTTTTGTATTTGTCCATTAATTTCTAATTTTTGGCTTTGGTATTTTGTGTCTGATACAGTCCAAGCACTTTCATAGATATTTTCTGTTCTTAAATCCTTCCAAAGCAAATCAGTGATCCTGGTTCTTCGTGGCACAAAAGCATCAATCTCTTAGGGACCTGTACAAATCGTAAAACTGAAGACACTATGAAATTCTACAAAATTGTCCTACTGCAGACCTCAGTATTATAGCAAGCCTGACTTGAGCAGAATCACATTTCTTTCACTACGGTTGACATCACTTTCAGCTAGCCTAAATCAGGTATTTAGGAGAAAATAATCTGAAACATTCTCTTAGAACCATCTGTCAAAATTATGTTTTCTTCAGCAATAGTACAGTAAGAATTGATCTTCCGACTACCCTGGGCTTATATGGCATTAGATAAATTAATTTTGTTATTAAATATTTGTATAAAATTCTTGATCTGAAGGTCTGATTTATTATACTAAATGCAAATAGCTAGAATAATGGAATAAATAGGGTAATGGTGTTCAGGCTGATTTACTATAATGTTCCTAAACTCAGACATGTTTTTACTATTATCTTTTTTCAGACCAGGCCTATTTCTGTTAATGATCAAAAACAGATACTATTTAATCTGGGATCTATTAAGTTTTTAATTACAGTGATTCTTACGTGATACTTCATTTTGCCCTCTGCATTCGTGCATGGGGAACTCTACTCTTGGCTTAAGATCAATTCTGGAAAACATTAATGTCTGGTTCTTGAAGCTGTATATGTAACTAACTCCTAAAGCTTCTTTTTTATAATCTCTCTAGAGCTACTTTAGATTTTACGCATATCATAACATGGCAAAATAATAATATAATGAAATTATTTATGAAACTCCCAGAAATCCATTTATTCAACAAATATTTTTGAGTGCCCTTATATGTCAAACATTGCCCTAGGCACGGTGATGAACTAAAATATCAAAGTCAGACGTGTTATACATTTTCCCAAAACCTTAATTGCACAAGGTACTCTGAAGATACCAATGTGCCCATGACTTCATCTGTGTGTGTTGAAATAGGGTTTGGCCCAAACCAGTGAATTCTAATCTAAAGTATTTTTTTTAAATGATCATAGCATCTTTGACTATCATTTTAACTATCTTCAGCCATGAGTGATGGTTTTTCTATTTCTAATCCAGGGACAACCTAACAGATGCTGAGAATGGTAACATGCAACTGCAAGCACAGCGTGCATTTACCACCAGGCGGCAGATATCTGAGGAGACAGAAAGTGTGGATAATCGAGAGTCTTCCGAGGTAGAAAGAATTTTCTTGTTCTTGTCCATAGACACATGTTACAGCAATAAGATTAAAGTATGTGTGGCTTAAGATTATTCTGTTTGTTTTAGAACTGGGAAATTATAAGAGAAGATGAAGCCACCATGTATAGCAATCAGGCCTTCCCATCACCTCCAGCATCAAGTAACTTGGATGTTCAGACTCATCTTGCGGAAGAATTGAATGCCAGATTCACAATTTGTAGAAATTCAGCCACCGGCCAGCCAGTATCCAGCTCGGTAAGATGCTCTTAGATTTTGTTGTAGCTTCAGGATTTTATATTATATATATTATTCCATTGGGTATCCAACATTTACATAAAATTTTGTCTTTTATCCCTGGTTTTATTGAGATGTAATTGACAGACAACACTGGATTAGTTTAAGGTATACAACATAATGATGTGATATACATATATATATATATATAATAGCAAAATTACTACCACACGAAGTCTAGCTAACATCTATTATCTCACATAGCTACACATTTTTTTCTTGTGATAAGAAAAACTGTGTCTTAAATGGCATATAATAGTGTGTTAGGGACTTTAGGACTTTATGGTATGGTCATTTTTTCAAATATCTCCACTAATAGTATGGAGCAGAGTCATGGATAACCCAAAGGGTCATTGGAGTCTAAATAGCCATTACATAAACCAGTGCCTCCCAGCCAAAGACCCCCCCAGGAACATACCTGTAATTAAACATGTTGGGTTTATTACTCATTTCAGCAAGGAGAACACACACCCTGAGTGTCTCAGTAAGAGTATGTTAGAAGGGGCGCCTGGGTGGCTCAGTCTTTAAAGCGTCTGCCTTCGGCTCAGGTTATGATCCCAGGGTCCTGGGATCGAGCCCCACATTGGGATCCCTGCTCGGCGGGAAGCCTGCTTCTCCCTCTTCCACTCCCCCTGCTTGTGTTCCCTCTCTTGCTGTCTCTTTCTCTGTCAAATAAATAAATAAAATCTTTAAAAAAAAAAAAAAGAGTATGTTAGAAAAGACTTGGAGGATTTGGGTTCATGTTAGGCGATTTTGAGGATCGTTTAAGGAAGCAGGACTTTGCACTGGATGCTGTGAGGAAGCAAGAGTGTGGGGTGCCTGGGTGGCTCAGTTAGTTAAGCGTCTGACTGTTGATCTCAGGTCTTGATCTCTGGGTTGTGAGTTCAGGCCCCATATTGGGCTCCATGCTGGGTGTGGACCCACTTAAAAGAAAAAAAAAAGGAATGATTCTGTGATTGAATGTCTCAAATCTTATGTATAGTGAGGCTAAAGCTGTAATTCGTAAAAAAGCAATAGTCACTCAGATTTGCCAGGATGGAGAGATCTTTGGTATTTTGTGGCTGGACAGTGTTCACATTTTGTCTGTGTTCAGGCATGATTACAAAGTGGTCTTGCTTTTGTGTTGATCCGACTGATGAGAGCCAAGCAAGTCCTGCATGTCTGGGGCTACTTTTCTCCTCCTCAATTATACCACACCTGTCACCAGCACACACGTGTGAATAGGAGCTGATGTACTTAGACTAAACAGGGAGGTAGATGGCATTCAATGAAATACTATGCAGGTATGAAAAGAATGAAGTGAGTTTTGGGGGTTTTTTTTTGCTTTTTTGGTTTTTTTTTTTGCTTTTTTTGTGTTTCTTTTTAAGATTTTATTTATTTATTTGTGAGAGAGAAAGAGAGAGAGAGCACAAGCAAGGGGAGTGTCAGACAGAGGGAGAGGGAGAAGCAAGCTCCCCACCAAGAAGGGAGCCCGACATGAGGCTGGATCCCAGGACCCTGAGACCTGGGCTGAAGGCAGATGCTTAACCAACTGAGCCACCCAGGTGCCCCTGTACCTTTTGAATTTCATACCATGTGCATATTAATTTAAAAAATAATTTATTATTTTTAAGGTATTATATGGTCATGCTTAAAAGTTCAAACAGTATTGAAGTATATAAAACAAAAATTCAGTCTTCCGTCTTCCGTCTAACATATGCTCCCTCAATTGCTATTAATGGTTTGGCATATATTGTCCTAAATATTTTCCTTTTTTTTTTTAAAAGATCTTATTTACTTATTTTGACAGAGAGAGAGAGAGAGAGAGAGACAGCGAGAGAGGGAACACAAACAGGGCGAGTGGGAGAGGGAGAAGCAGGCTTCCCGCAGAGCAGGGAGCCCGATGTGGGGCTCGATCCCAGGACCCTGGGATCATGACCTGAGCCGAAGGCAGACGGTTAATGACTGAGCCACTCAGGTGCCCCTAAATATTTTCTATATATTTGTAAACATGTATGACACACATATATTTGTACATAATTTTTTTAACCTGAGATCATCTTTTTGGTAACTTAACTCTCTTCACTTGTTGTATCATACATGTTGGACCATTTCAGTACATATTTTAAACATATTTTAAAACCTCTTTTAAAACCAACAAAGAAAAATCATCAAACGTCATTCCTTTGTGCAAGTAATCCTTAAGATATCTCACCAGTCTCCTACTGATAGACTTTAGATTGCAGTTCTTTGTTCTTGTCAACAATACTAGTGTAGATATTTTTTTAAAGATTTTATTTATTTATTTGAGAGAGAGAGAATGAGAGACAGAGAGCACGAGAGGGAAGAGGGTCAGAGGGAGAAGCAGACTCCCCGCTGAACAGGGAGCCTGATGTGGGACTTGATCCCGGGACTCCAGGATCATGACCTGAGCTGAAGGCAGTCGCTTAACCAACTGAGCCACCCAGGCGCCCTACAGTAGATATTTTGACTTAATTTTATGTGTGTTACAAGTTTTTGGTTTTGTTATTTAATAACATCAAAAAATTCGGGTAGTGACAAAAGCCTGCATATAAAAGCACAGGGAAAGAAAGAATAGGGGGCTCCTGGGGGGACGAGTCATCTAGAATGTCCAGAGGGTGGGTGTTGCGGTGGGCAGGGCTGGAGCTATGAGGAGCAGCCCGGTCTGGGAGCTTGCTACGTTCTGGGCTATGGATTTCATGCCGGTGACCGTGAGAGGTCACAGAAGGGCTCTGCGCTCGAGAACGATGTGACGGGGTCTGCACTGTGGGGTGTGCTCTGGCCATAGTGCGCAGCATGGAGGGCGGCTTTAAGGAAATTGGACTTGAAGCAGGGAGATCTGTGAGGGGGTTGCTGCCGTGACAGGCAAGGCAACAAATGATGAAAACTTGAAATTAAAAAAAAAAAAAAAAGAAAGAAAACCCAACTTGAACTAAAGTGCAAGGAGAATATAGTTGAGAGCTGGGAAAGAAACAATAAGATCTGGTGACTGCCCTGCCTGTAAGGGACGGGAGGGGAGTCTGGGGACGAACTGATACCTGAGGGCAGCCGCTGCTGGACTCCAGCCCTGCCCCCCGAAACAAGGAACAGGGTTGAGTGGTTGTGGACAGGGGAAAAGCGAATGAGTGTGGAGCATAATGAGGGGTCTCCGTTAGACATTCAAGAAAAAGTGTCTGGGAGGCCACCTAGGAGCCAGGGCCCAAGAGTGAGCCACAGGGTGGAAGGCGCTGGCCCACAGGGGTGTGGAGAGCAGCTGAGTGCCACTCCGCAGTGGCTCTCCCTTCTACCCCATCACACCCACCCGCCCCCCGCCCCGTACCTTATCTGCCACTCAGACACAGATCAAAAACCTAAACCTATTATCACTCTTTTTTTTTTTTAAATAAGAATCATTCCAGCAGAAGAGGCAGCTTACAAGCCTATACTTTTGAGGAACAGCCTACACTTCCTGTGGTGAGTTATCCTCTCCCCTCATTGTCAGTAAAAATAGGAAACTCAAGAAGTTTTTTTTAAAGATTTTGTTTATTTGAGAGAGAGAATGAGAGAGAGCATGAGAGGGGGGAGGGTCGGAGGGAGAAGCAGACTCCCTGCTGAGCAGGGAGCCCGATGTGGAACTCGATCCCGGGACTCCAGGATCATGACCTGAGCCGAAGGCAGTTGCTTAACCAACTGAGCCCCTCAGGCGCCCCAAGAACTTTTTTTTTTTTTTTTTTTTGGAGCACTGAGTATGAACATTGGACTGCTTAGCAATGAGCCAATCGAGCACAGAATCTCGGTTCTTGGAGATGAGGTTCAGGACAGGAGGAAATGAGGTAGGTGGGCGGGGGAGACCGCCTCTCCCGTGCTAAGAAAGCAAGGCCCCTGCCCCGGCGACTGGGGGCAACATGTGGGCTTGTGCGCTGAGGCCCCGGGCTGGCTGGAGGCGGTCTGCAGGCAGCCTTCGGGTCGAGACTGTGCCGTCCAGCTGCCTCTGCTCTGGACACTGACCCCTGGCATCGAGCTGCAGTGTCTGCCCCATACGTGAAGTGGCACATCCGTCACTTGGGCAGGGGTGGGCTGGTGTTGGCAAGCTCAGTGGCCAGGCTGCATGGAGTTCTGCTCTCTTCCCATCAGACTCCACATCCACTGAGGCCTTCTGCCTCCTTCTCAGTAGGATTTCCAGCCGCAGCCTTAACTGCGGCTTAGACCTTAACAGCCTCATGCCTGGACCCTTGACTCCCTTTTGGTCTTCCACCCCCCTCTTCCTTACTCAACTCTCATTACTTTGAGTTTATCTCTCCTTGACGCAACCCCCACTTGTGTCTTACTTCCAGGCTCCCAGCCCCTTCAGCCTACCGTCCTCCTCATCCGCCCATGGGAACCTCCTGCTGCCTTCACCCCGTCCCTCCTTTTTCTTCCAAACAGGCTGCCCCCTTTCCTGACTCTCTCCCTCCTCTGGCTCTGCGTGCATGCCATTTCCACATGTAGAATACCTCCTCACCTTTTTCCACCATTTGTAATTTTGAATGGCAGTCTATGCATTAATTTTGGAAAAGTGGGGATTGTTTTTCCTCTTATGAAAATTCCAGCATAGGAATGCAGAGGCTCAGAATTCCTTGAACTAAGAGTGGCTTATCCATCTAAAGAGGTGGCACTGCACCAAGATAGGGACACAATCCTGTGCTGACGAAGGAGGGGGGGCAACTCACTTGTGCCGTTGGCCCAGTCAGCGTTGACCGTCTACAATAGAGGAAATGCCGCAGAAACACGGCCCTCACCATCCTTTCTCCCGCTATTGCCACTTGCCTGCCCTCCTCCGTTAGGCTGGAGCCTGCTTAAGCAGAGACCCCTGGTTTTCTCCCACTGTGCTTTGTAATGTCCTCCTACAAGGAAAATGTCGCATTTCTGACGGACGGACAGGCATTCATCCAAGACGCTCACCAGATGAGCAGCAGAATCTAGAGATGATTTATATTCATCTGTACATACACGCACTTCAGTTTTTATATGTACTAGAAAAGCTATTTCCATACCTTTTTCTTCTCAATACATTGAATTGATTTTTAAAAAAGTTTTCTTGAGGTATAATTTACATACCATAAAATCCCTTCATTTTGTACAAATACATGAATTTTAGTAAATTTGTACAGTTGTGCAAATATTACCATAATCAAGTCTAAGAACCCTTCATCACCCCAGAAAGTTTCTTCAATCCCAGCATCTACTTTCAGCCCCAGGTAACCACTCATCCTCCTTCTGTACCTACAGCGCTGCCTTTTCTAGAAGTTTCACATAAGTGGAACCATACAGTGTTGTAGTTTGATGTATCTGGCCCATTTCACTCCCATATGATGTTTTCAAGTTTTGACCATGCTGGTGCACGTCTCAGTAGTTCGTGACATTCTGTTGTGTAGACGTATCTGCTCTATTTCGTTTATCTACTCACCAGCTGTTGGACGTTTGTAAAGCCAGGCAACTTAAATTTCATTATTTTGTAGATCAACAGCTCATCATATCTGTGAGCAACATACCTCTACCCCGGTGTGTCTAGGGACGGTGTAGCTGTAAGCAGACCAGCGGCGATAGTTTATATGTATAAGACACATTGGGGAAACAGGCCAAACCTTGAGGAGTCTAATCTGGTTCAAAAGACAAAAGGAAGACCAAACCTGGACTACTTTAAGTAAACCTGGGAACAACCAGACCTCTTTGTTCATTAGTAATAAACTCAAAAGTAGCAGCTTCCTGGCCCTTACAGGAAGATGGCAGTGGTAACTTCTGACTCAGCGCATATGGGTGATAAATTCTGTAGTTAAACTACCTGGCTCAGATCTCAGCTCCATATTAGCAATGTATCTGTTAGGCAGTTACCCCAGTTTTCTAAGCTTCAGTTTCCTTGTAAATAAAAACTGGCTAGTAATAGCAATTATCTCCTTAAGATTTGTGTGGAGGTTAAATGACATGATCTATGTTAAAACATTTAGTGTGTGGTTGTTACTACTGTCATGTTTTATTAATGTTGGTATCGCTCTCATCATTATGGTCTGTTCTGGTTTTTCTTAAGTAGAATGTGGTACACTTCATTTCATACACCTCAAATTATGATTTAAAAGTCCATTCATTTTAAAGAGAGAGGGCAGTGAAAAAGGGAGGTAGGTGGTCCTTTTAAAAGGTTTGTTTCATATTCATACTCAGTTTTCCTATTATTCTTCACTGTAGCTTTTGCCTACTTCATCTGGATTACCCCCAGGTTGGGAAGAAAAACAAGATGAAAGAGGAAGATCATATTATGTAGATCACAATTCCAGAACTACCACCTGGACAAAGCCCATGGTACAGGTACCATGCAATCTACCTGTTAACTTGTTTTCTTACATAATTTACGCCATCATACTCCTGTGGAAGCTAGTACATCATTCTGTGGTATATACTGGTTGCTGCTAGCCATGTTCTAATTGTTTGCTGACCTTGGTGCTCCCATTTCCTATGGCTCTCTCACATACATGATTATCACTTGCTATCATGTAAAACAAGTCCATCTGGGAATAAAATGGAGCAAATGATCTGGTCCATTGGGTAATAATGTTATTTGAATGGTTAAGATCATTATTTCTCTAAAAGATAATCTTAGTGATTAGGATCTGTTAAAGAAATTTGCCACGATGACACTTTGTCCTTGGCAACAGCGAGTGGCTTTTGTGACATTTCCTCATGTTTAGGAAAATGTTTAATTTATTTTATCACTGTTTCTCTGACTGAGAAATTTTTTAACACTGAAAAGCATAGAGAACAATACAGCAAATACCCACCTTCTTAACACCCAGAATTTACCACCATTAACAAATTACCGTATTTGTTTCTAGGCATTTTATTTTTAAAAATAAAGGAGCGCCTGGGTGACTCAGTCAGATAAGTGTCTACTTTGGCTCAGGTCATGATCTCAGGGTCCTGGGATTGAGCTCCCCCCATCGGGCTCCCCACTCAGGGGCAATCTGCTTCTCCCTCTGCCCCTCCCTCCACTCATGCTCTCTCTCTCTCTCTCTCTCTTTAAAAAATACTTAAAAAATAAAATTGTGGGCACCTGGGTGGCTCAGTTGGTTAAGCGACTGCCTTTGGCTCAGGTCATGATCCTGGAGTCCCGGGATCGAGTCCACATTGGGCTCCTTGCTCAGCAGGGAGTCTGCTTCTCCCTCTGACCCTCCCCCCTCTCATGCTCTCTCTCTCTCTCATTCCCTCTCAAATAAATAAATAAAATCTTAAAAACAAAACAAAACAAAACATAGCCAGTTGCTATAATAGTATAAAGGCAGTGGCATACAATTTAAAAAAAAATAAAAAGTAAAATTGTACAGATAAAACTAAATTCCTTTTAGCCAAGCGCTTGGTCCTACTACCCAGAGAGAAGCACCGTCTTAAGTCTGTTGGTCATTCTTCCAGTCATTTTTTTTTTTTTTTTGGGCTTAAACAACAGAAACATTTCTCACAGCTCTGGAGGCAGGGAGGCCGAGCTCAGAGGGCAGCATTTTGGGTCCTGGTAAGGGCCCTCTTCTGAGCTGCAGACTTCCATCTTCTTGCAGTGGCCTCACACAGTTCTTCCAGGCTCTTTTATATACTTACAGAGAGAGCTAAAATGATGCAAAGTAGTGTTTATGTTCCTGTGTTTCAAATTTTGCAAAGATGTCATATAATTCTAAATCTTTTTTGTTCAACAGTGTTTTTAAATCCTATCCATGTTGTCTTATGTATGGATCTGGTGTGTTTCTTTTAACCACTGCCTAATAGTTCATCAAATGAATATATTACATTTCAGTGATCCAATTCTGCAATGGATATTTGCCATGCATTTTTTTTTGCCCAGCATTGGCAGGCACTTCTACGTGTGGGGAATTGCGCACTCACTCTGTGTGTCTTTGGGGCAAGCAGAGACAGCCTCTTTGAACTGGCACCGTGGTGACCTTGCTGCTGGGGCACGGTCCCTCTGACCTCGTTGCCTCCATCACGCACATCCACAGCAGACTTGGACTGTTAGCCAGTGTCGTACCGCTCAAGAATTAGCTGAGAAATTATAAGTTATTTTAAAAACGAAGTTTGACGAAACACTATTAGAAAAATGCGTCTGCCATGTTTAGGTCTATTTATAAGGATATATTCTGTTTGCAGGTTAAGTTACCTTTTAACCACAGCTATTTGTGTGTTCTCTATAAAACATGACAACATGACTTACTTCATGTGCTAGGCCACAGCCGAGACCAGTCAGCTGCGGTCAGGCCAGAGTTCTGCGTGCCCTCAACCACACGTCCCCACGAGTGATTCAGCACAGCAGGTGACCCAGCCGTCTGAAACGGAGCAAGGATTCCTTCCCAAAGGCTGGGAAGTCCGGCACGCACCCAATGGGAGACCTTTCTTTATTGACCACAACACCAAAACCACTACCTGGGTAACTTTAATACTGTCCAGTTTGAATGTAGAACAATGATCTTAACTCTTACAAATAGTTCCCTGTAACCCTTAAATGTACATTAATATAACCTACATTTCCTCGTATTCATTTAAAGAGATGCTGAATTCTTAACAGTATTATTTCTACTCAAGAAATACGCCTATTTTTAATATTTTTAGGGATTGTCCTGGAAATACATTTACTTCCTATTTCGTTTTTAACGCGCTAGACATAAATGTTTAGGAAGGTATTTGTAATAATCCTTTTACATGTTGCTTTGTAGTTCCAAGGTACTTTTGAATCCATATCTCATTTAATACCCAGAAAACCTTGGGGGAGGCTAGGTAGAATAGTATTTTTATTTTAAGATAAGCCTTAAAGCTGTTTAGCAGTTGGTTCACCACTAATAGAAAAATTACTGAAAATCAGCAACAGATGACTAGATTTTGATTAATTTATTTACTTAAAAGACCAAAGTACCTTAATAAAACTAAAATAGTTTAATAAACTACTTAACTAAATAATATTAAAACAATATATGTAAGTGAATCCAAACAAATTGAATTTTGTTCTTTTTTTCAACAATTTGAATTGACTTTAGTAAACTTTTTGAGTTTACCTCCCTAGCTTTAAAAAATATTAATACATCAACACCTTTACAGATAAGTGCCAAAAAGCATGCTCAAGCCCTCAGAAATAACACATGGTCTAGTTTCATGTCCATTCATTCAGCAGTTTTTATGGAGAGAAGAGCCCCTAGGTAGAGACGCAATCCCTGAAGAGTGGGGGCAAAATTCTCCGAATGGCTTCTCTGAAACAGATGATGAGTTAAAACTGATCCTACTCTGAGGTCTGCGGACTGAATCTTGTAGCCTGGGAATGATGGGCTTTAGACAGAGAAACTATTATTTCACAGATGAAGCAAATGGAATAAAAGTAGACTTTAAAAGAAAATAGTTTAAATATCAATTGATGTTAGAAAAACATAGTAACAGATTGACTTTCTTGATTTTAAAATTTGTGTGCGTGTTGTTGTTTTCTTTATTTACTCTACCAAAAAAAGGAAGATCCAAGACTGAAAATTCCAGCTCATCTTAGAGGAAAGACATCACTTGATTCTTCCAATGATCTGGGACCTTTACCTGTAAGTTTATAGACTTGCTAGCAATCTAACTTGGCTCTCTCAAACATTTTTTATTTTGGAATACAGTAGTTCTTCAACAACTATAAGTAATGTTATTATTAAAGTGTAATGCCGGGGCGCCTGGGTGGCTCAGTCGTTATGTGTCTGCCTTCGGCTCAGGTCATGATCCCGGGGTCCTGGGATCGAGCCCCACATTGGGCTCCCTGCTCCGCGGGAAGCCTGCTTCTCCCTCTCCCACTCCCCCTGCTTGTGTTCCCTCTCGCTGTGTCTCTCTCTGTCAAATAAATAAAATCTTAAAAAATAAAATAAAGTGTAATGCCTTCTACTAAGAATGGCATATGGAAATTAACTGTATAACCAAATGCCATTTTTCTACCCTGTATACATCTCAAACCCTTTCCAAAAATAATTGAAATACATTCTTCATTATAGCCAGGATGGGAAGAAAGAACTCATACAGATGGAAGAATCTTCTACATAAATCACAGTAGGTGCAATGTGATTTTTCATTACATTATTTTTTTGTAATATTGAATTTTGTGCAGGAGACTCAAGAACACCTTATTTCTCTCCCTCTTCAGATATAAAAAGAACACAATGGGAAGATCCTCGGTTGCAAAATGTAGCAATAACTGGACCAGTAAGTCTCTTTGCATCCATATGCACTGATGGCAGTGGCCTCTCACCTGTCTTGTCAAGGGCAAATGGTCAAGGGCATAATCCTACAGACCTTGAGAGGACAGCACATCTGCAATTCTGTACTCTCCCACCACCCCCAGGTCTTAATAATTTGAAAAGAGTGTATAAACTTATTGTCCTTACCCTTGCAATAGCCTTAGGAGACTAGTGAGCCAGATAGTCAAATGCCAAGGCAGTGGGGCTGCTGGGTTCAGGCTGGTACTTGCCACCATTGCCTGAAAAAGAATGTTGGCAATCCTCAGGAGATCAGAGAGGAGCCAAGAATGTATCAGGTGAGAAAGTAGACAGCACCCAGTCGACTCCAGGGGCATGCTTGAACTTTTTGGTGGAAATTACTGTAAATGCTGGTGTATAAAATACTCGTATTTAAGTATAAATATTATAATACTTAATGTTATCATATAATAATGATAGGAAAAATCATTTTCCTCTTTATACAGTTACTTGTTCCATATTTTGTTTTTGAGATTTTGTTTTCTAATTCACAAAAACAAGTGAAATTGAAGATCCAGTTCTTTTAAATTACTCTTTAGTCTCCATGTTTAGTATTTTAAAATAATGGGGAAAAAAGGCAATTCCTCAGAGTTCAAGGAAAAAGTGCATTTTTCAAATTATTCCCTTAATGGAGAAATCACTTGGACAGTGTGTTTAGAAATGGAAATTTTCATTTCTAATATTTCTCTCCTTGGAAGAAATTCCCTGTTTCTGGCTTTTTGCATTTCAAGAATATTGCATGATGAAAATTACAGCCATGGGGATTGCTGAATACAATTTAATTTTAAACAGAAAAATTAAAAATTTTAAAGTTTTGTATTTGTTTTCCTTCAAATTAAACTTTTCTTTCCAAGTATTCTCTTTTAATGCCTTTAACTTATGTTCATAAAATATCCAGATGGGAACTTTAAAAATTGTTCCAGAATAAAAACAACCTAAACCTTCTTTATTTTTCCAAAATTTTCAACTCAAGGCAGTGCCCTACTCCAGGGATTACAAAAGAAAGTATGAGTTCTTCCGACGAAAGATGAAGAAGCAGGTTAGTTATATTTACATTGAGTTCTTAGGAATGATTGTTATGTAGACTGAAAGTGTGGGAAATGCATTTTTAAAAGTAATAGAGAATTTATTCTATATTTTAACAACTTTGAATAGCTTCTTATAGGGAAAGGTGGCTTTTTTTTTTCTTTTTTTTTTTTGATTCCTCCATGTTACATATCATTAGAGACCACAGTTTGGGCTTGGTAGAATCCGAGCAAGCTCAGATTGTCCCCCAGCCTCATCCCTGATTGTGTAGGAGGACTCTCTATATTCCTCTTCTGCGTGGACTCTCGTTTTCCAGCGGTAGTTATTCATGCTCTACTGCTTCGTACAACTTATCTCTGCCTAATTTGAAAATACAACTGTGATTGAAACAGTGGTCCTTTTGTTTGTCTCCTTCTGCTTATCAGATGTGTTCACTACAGTTTTTTTCTTCCATCACCACAAATTTAATATTTGGAACTAAACTCATCATCTGCCCATCTATTTCACTTCTGTTGGTGATGACCACTTTGTAATTCCTTTCTAATTTGCTCCCACTTTTCCCCTTTCCCTGCAGTTTAGGAATACTACCACTAGGTGGCTATATTGGGTTACACTTTCTTGCGTTCCAAGCCGGAAGCCTGCTTTTCCAAAGATTCAAGATGGTGGGTCTGTTACCACAGAATGTTTTCATCCAACATTTAACAAAAAACGAAATGTAATAGTTTTTTAGTGCAAATATTTTGTGCCTTAATAAAAGCCTAAACTATCAGCAACTTTTTAAAACTCATCTTCAATAATAGCTTTGTGTTAAAATTGCTCTGGAAATTGGTTTTCTATTTCCTAAAGTCCTTTGGGGTTTTAAGACTTTGTTGATCTGTTGGTCTGGTAAATATTTTTACTCTTAATGAAAATATGCTGGTGGAATAGAACTCACTAGCTTCCCCATTTGCCATTCTCAGCGCTTACAAACATGCTATCATATCTAATTGTTGATGTCTTTCTGGCAGCAGGAGATGTGGAACAAAGCCTTCATAAAGCAGGTCATAACACACAGAAGCCACAATGAAGGCAGTAATAGTTACTGAGCTCTCACGGCAAACCAGACATTCTTCTTAGCAAGTTATATGTATTCATGTAATCTCTATATTAGCAGTCTAAGGAAGGAACTGTCATTGTCACTTTTGTAGGTAAGGGTACTGAGGCACAGAGAGATTAATTAATGTGATCGAGTCCCAGGGTTATTAGTGGCAAAGCCAGACAAGTGGTCTAGCTCGAGAGTCCATGTTCTTGACCAAAATGACATATATTGATGGTTAAGAGAGATATTTACCCAGAATGCAAGAAAGTTATATAAAGAGATAAAAACATGAAAGAAAGGTTAAGAAACATGGAGTTGCTCCAGAGAGAGAGACTCAAGAGCATGGGGAAGGGGCTACGAACCTGCATCCTTAGTTTATCAAAAAGTCCCTAATAGGATTTTAAAAAATCCATATCTAGTCTCATTACAGCAAAAGAGCAGAACACCAAGACGGAAATAAAAATGTTTAAAAACCATTGCTACAAAACCTTGAGTTGTCTTTAACCTTTTCCTCTGCCTTATCCATAACATCTCACTAGTGAGGAGTAAGGATGGCTAATCATTATTGAGCTCACCATATGCCAGACATGGAGGAAGCACACGAAATGCATTATCTCCTGACGTTCTAAAACAGCTCCATGGGGTGCCTATTATTATTGTCCCCAATTTACAGGTGAGGAAATGAAGCCTTAGGAAAGACGTGTCAGGGGGGTGCTGGGATCTGAACACGAGGCTCCGGCCCCCAGAATCCACACGCTGGTCCACTCCTCAGCCCAAACACGGAAGTCGCTCCTCCTGCCCTCTCTCTCCTCCATCGCCATCCCTCTCTCACAGGGTCCTTAACTGACCAGATGCCTCTTGTCTCTCCTTAAAGCCACCCGTTAGTCAGTCTCCAGGAACAACCTGACCCTGCTGCTCAGCTCAGCAGCTCTTCCCAGTTGGCATCCACGCTCCCTCCACTCTGGCCCCAGACCACTGTTCTGCCTTCTCCTGTCACTGCAACAACCCTTTCTCCCTCCCTCCTGCAGCCTCTTGCTGTTACATATAGTAGCCACACACAGCCCCCCACCCCCCAACAGGTTCTTCCCTTAGCTGCTCCTCGGTCCTTCCCTCCCTCTCCCTCAAGTCAGGACTTGTTCTTAAAGCCTCCTGGATCACCTCATTTGCAATTAATAGCTCAATCTTTTAGGCCCTACAGAACATTTGTTTATATCTTTATTATTAGCAATTTTCTTACTCTTGTAAATCTCAGGATTAGTAACATTTACATTTGTTTCTCTTATACACACTGGATTATAAACTCCTTGAGGGAGGAATCACATTTTATACCACATTTTTATTCCCTTTTCTTCCCATTCCCATTACTATAGCTACCTAGCATGGGGCCTGGCCCAGAGCAGGCCCCAGTAAATGCTTGGCTGCACAAGATGCCTAGTGTCTAAGATTGGTTTTCTCCGATCTTGCCTTTATTTTTAATTGCATAAGCAGCAGAGAAAACTGCTTATATTGCTTTATAAAAACTGCTTATATTATTCTGTTTCTGTAGGGCTTCCCCTTTTCCCTAAATATATTAAGAGTGAAATTGTTTTTTTTTTTCTTAGAAGTAACCCTCCCTTCTTCTTTTGAAGTGACAGAATTTTCTCTTACTGGTTTCCACTTGAACATTGCACACAAAGCACTTAAGAATAAAATATTCAGACATCTTTTTATAAAATTTACAATGAGGTCTGTCTAGAAGCCTAGTTATCTGCATTTGTCACATAAGCAGAGGATGTACAGAAAAATCAGCAAGACAGCAGAGACTCAAGAGCTCAGGCTTTCTTGACTTTTGTCTTCGGTTTCTTCACCCATAAAATGGAGATTATATTCGTCTCTTCTTCCTTGCGTTGTTATGAGGAGTAAATGAGTTAACCCATTAAAATGCTGGGAATAGTTGCCTGGTACAGTCTGTAAATGTTAGTGCCTATTAATGAATGCAGCAGGGTGGGCTCCAAGGAGGAAAGGTGGAGGTTGGGAAAACCCCAGAACCAACAGGCAGCCGAGAAAGAGCAGGCGTTGGCTGGGCTGTAGGCGGCAGGATGGCCTTCACTGGAACTTAATATGGAATGGACCGTTCATGAAGTGCCTTCATGTGAACATTATTGCCACTCCTGATAACTGCTTCTTCTAGTATAAAAATCAGAAGTCTGTATTATTATGTGATTAGAGAAAACGCATGAATTCTTTTATACCATAGAGGAAATACTAGACAACATCCCTAGTCACATTTTCCCCAAGAAAGGGTCTTGGGCACAGGGTAGAGCACAATGGTTTAAATAACTTTACAAGAAATAAATTTGCCATTGTGTTGAATTGATTTAAACCACAAGTCTCTCTTCTCTGGGTTTTCAGAATGACATTCCAAACAAATTTGAAATGAAACTTCGTCGTGCAACTGTCCTTGAGGACTCTTACAGGAGAATTATGGGTGTCAAGAGAGCAGATTTCCTCAAGGCTCGGCTGTGGATTGAGTTTGACGGTGAAAAGGGGTTGGATTACGGAGGAGTTGCCAGAGAATGGTTCTTCCTGATCTCAAAGGAAATGTTTAACCCTTATTATGGGTTGTTTGAATATTCTGCTACGTAAGTACTTTTACAATGACTGTATACAGAAAAAAAAAAGTCACTGTTCTGAAAGTAACAAAGAGTTGTATGACGCAAGGAAACTGTGTTAACAACGTGCCAGAAAAGGAGACAGTCACTAATGTTGTTTCAGAAATAACTTTTTAAAAAAATGGTAGTAAAATACACATAACATAAAACTTACCATTTTAGCCATTTTAAGTGTGCGGTTCAGCGGTGTTCAGTACATTCACATTGTTGTGCCATTGTCCCCACCGTCCATTTCCAGAACTCTTTCACCATCAACTGAAACTGTTGAAGCCCATGAAACACTAACTGCTTTCTTCCCTGGTGGTCGCCATTCTACCTTCTGTCTCTGTGAATCTGACCACGCTAGGTACCTCATATCAGTAGAATCCTACAGGGCTTTTCCTTCCGTAAATGACTTATTTCCTTAGCATAATGTCCTCAAGGTTCATCCATGGTATAGCATATGTCAGAATTTTTTCCTGTTTTGAGGCTGAGTAATACCCCATTGTGTAAAAGGACACCCCATTTTGCATATCCGTTCATCTGTTGTTGAACACTTGGGTTGTTTCCACCTTTTGACAGAAATGACTCTTTTTAAAACCATTAAATCCAGTGGTCTCATGTGGTTCTAATAGAAGTAAAAACTCCAAAAAGCGGGAGCTAATTTATTATTCTGTTATATTAAAATTTTTATATGAAATGTGGAGAGGAACATTTAAATGTGTTTGTCTTTACAGGGATAATTATACCCTACAGATAAATCCAAACTCCGGATTGTGTAATGAGGATCACCTCTCTTACTTCAAGTTTATTGGCCGGGTAGCTGGAATGGCAGTTTATCATGGCAAACTGTTGGATGGTTAGTATTAAGCATAAAACATTTTTTTAAAGTATAATGATCTTATTTCTTTCACTTGGTAATCATTTTCAATACATTTTATTTTTTTGAAAGGTTTTTTCATCCGCCCATTTTACAAGATGATGCTACACAAACCAATAACACTTCATGATATGGAATCAGTGGTATGTCTTTTTCACTTATAATGTACAGAACATATAATTTAAGAAGCAACTGGATATTTTCAAGTTGGAATTTGATGATGAAGAAATTAATAGATTATAATGTTCCAAAATACAAATGAACGTTTTCCCCAATATTCTAATATGAAAATTTCCTAATACATAATAAAATTTTTAAAATGTTATAGTGGACATATATGTATCCACCACCAAGATTCTGTACTTGGTTTTTTTTTCCTATACTTACTTTATTACCTACCTATCCGTCAGTCCACCCATGTGTCCATCAATCCATCTTTTTTGATGCACTTCAAAGAATGCCCTTCTCCCTAATTACTCCAATGTACTATCAACATTTGAATTGTGATCTTTTATGATGAGTGGATATGTTTCCAAAATGACAGTCCAAAGGCAAGGCCTTGTGGTTAGGCCACTACAAAGAAATGGAAACCTAAGGATTAAATCCCTGATGGTAGCTTTTCTGTGTTAACTGAAAAGCCTCATGTGCTGTGTGTACACATGGATTCCAAGCTCTCTTCCTGGGAACCAAGTATATTTTTTATTCCTTTCCTGTGACATTATCTATGTGGACCGTATAATTCTTTGTGAATCATAAGATTTCACAGTTATTTGAGTTGGTTAATTGAGGTTCTACATTTAATCTGAGATTTTTCTTTAACTTGGGCCAGGTATAAATAACAACCTGCTTATACATAGCTACTTATACATTTAACACCCCGTCTCCACAGGCCGTACCAGAAAAGCACTAGGTGCTCCTGGGCATCCGTGGGAGTTAGGATTCATCTGGAAACTACTTTAGTTGACCCTTCAACTGGATAATAAAATCTGTCCCTCCACTGCCTCTACATAGAGATAGGTTTCCAAACTGTCGGGCAAGCCCCACTCTGCTGATTTATGCATTTCTACTCTCACACTTAATAGTTATCCCACTCTTTTTATAATACTGTGTGTATATAAGAAAAGACGTTCTACTACTTTTCATCTTTTGTCTAAGTAGTCAGACTCTCAACACACTTTCTTTGCAGGTTCAGGTGTCTTTTTATGTACAAATTTTAAATATGTGATTTCCCCATCTAGGATAGTGAATATTACAATTCACTAAGATGGATTCTTGAAAATGATCCAACAGAATTGGACCTCAGGTTTGTCATAGATGAAGAGCTTTTTGGACAGGTTTGTAAACTTTGATTAATTAAAATGGTACATAAATTGTGAAATAAATGTTATAACTTAAGTTTAGAAGTTAAATAATGCATATCCTCGACACACTTCTGTGCTCTATTTTTAAATTTATTTTCCAGTAACAAAAGCTGTCTCAGCCAGAATTTCTGCTTTCCTTGACATTTGACTCATTCCATGTTTATTTTAGTAAAACTAATATTTTAAGTTTTCTTAGCTTGTGAATGGTTTTAATTTAAAACACTGGGTTTCTGGGACAACTATAATGCATATATTTTATTTTTTTCGCTAAAATAACATATCAAGATATCATGCTTAATTTTAGACACATCAACACGAGTTGAAAATTGGCGGATCAGAAATAGTTGTTACCAATAAGAACAAAAAGGAATATATTTAGTAAGTATTTTGTTAGTAAGTATTTTATTATGTTTAGTATATACTTCACTGGAAATAATTTTGTAGTTCTTTCTGAGAAGACTCTTCGTTATCTTCTTTCTCTTTCTTCATAGCCAGGGTCTTAATGTTCTTTTTTCTCTTTCTATAACAATGCCGTATTACCACTCATATTCACTTTTTGCTTGGGGCTTACCTAGTCTTTATTTTTTGTTTCCAACTGGAATAAATATACCTTAAATTTTTTTCTTCATTCATGTGAAAAAGATGAAATGTTTTGTTTCTTTTTAGTCTTGTAATACAGTGGCGATTTGTAAATCGAATCCAGAAGCAAATGGCTGCATTTAAAGAGGTATTCATTTACTTTTGTTCGTTCTTCTGCCATTTCAAAGTACAATTCATAAGTTTCAGGTCTTGGGGGCTCATCACATCTGAGAACTAAGAGATGACTGGCTTTTTAAAACAACTTTTAGTTATAGTTTTATAGTAAAAAAAAATATTTAAATGAATAGGTGTTAGAACTCAGTCATCCAAGAGGCCCATACAGTTAATGCTGATGCTCCCCCTTCACTCCAGTCACTGCTCCTCACCTTTTCCCAGTCACGTCTCCTCCATCTTAAGTAACAGGTGAACAAGGTTCAGAGTGCCGTAGGGAGAGTGGAGTAGGCCATTTATTTTCCCACATGGGATCACACTGTACATGCTGGTTTGTGACTTGCTTTCTTCTCTTAACAAATATTTATTGGAGATCTTTACACGTCAAGACTGCCTACACTGCGTAACTGCCCTTCCTTGTGGCTGCATTTATTCACAATATAAATTCCTAAGTTATTTAAATTCCCCCTGTTGGTGGACATTTAGGCTATTGCCAGTGCACTCGTTTCTTAAGCCAACTTAAAATCTTCCGTTCAGTATTTATCACGTACTTTTCATTTATTCAGTATTGAGCACTCGCTATGTATCTGGTGCTGCACAAGGCAGAAAGACCTAGGTCCTGCTCTAGGGAGCAGAAAATCTAAAGAGTGATGTGGATAGAGGCAGGCGTGAAGTGCTCAGTAAGCACATAGAAGAGACCCAGGCTGGGAGAGGTGCAGGAAGGGCCAGGGAAGGGCTGGAGGAACTGGCCAGCCACACAGAGGAGGGCAGTGCAGTTTTAAGCATAATGAGGGGCATGTGTGAAGTCTGGCCATAAGACAGACTGTGCACATGTTGGAGAACATGCTAGCAGTTCATACACTGGATAAGATGAGGCAGGAGGTCAAACTGAGCTGAAGAGCTGAGCAGAATCAGATTAAGAAGGGCCTGTTTGCTAAACTGGAAACAGAGGGAATTTGGGGTTTTTGCGGAAGTCCAGTGAGGGGAAGGAAGGTGGCGATAAAACACCAGGATTCAATTTACATTTTAGTCAGATCATTCTGGAAGTGGTGTGTAGAGAGTTAGAGATAGACAAGACTAGCAGCAGGGCCGGGCGGGAAGGTGCGGCAGTGATCCGGGTGAGAGAAGATCAGGGCAGGAACGAAGGTGGTGGTGGCGGGAAGACCACTGTGTGTGTATCTGAATGGGATTCACAAGGGAGAACTGTAGCTCAGGGTGCTTTAAAGGATAGAGATCTGGGCGGGGGGCAGCATGGATTTGGGGATCATCTGCCTGTGTGTACTGGAGCTGTGGACTTGGTAAGATGGGAAATTGGAAAGAACAGTAAGAACAGGGAAAGTGGATGACCACCATGGGGATGTGGGAGCACCAACCTGGAAGGAACAGACAGTAGAAAGGGAGACGTCGAAGAAATTAGCAAATGCAGAGAGAGACACGAGAAAAACCATTGACAGCGGACGAAGTTTCCGGAACAGCAGTGTTTTCAACAGTCACATAGTTCAGAGAAGTCAGATAAGATACCTGACTAGAAAGCATTGATCAGAGTTCACCGCAACGCTGTCTTGAAGGCAGTGGGGGCCCGGAGGGCAGAGGGCAGCAGGTGGAGGCAGAGACAGGCCGGCGTGGGCTCCATCAGGTATAATGACGTGGCGGTAAAGACAAGAAAGACAGGTTTGCTTTTTTGTTTTGTTTGTAAGGTAGCTAGGCTTAAACAAATGTAAATGCAGAAAGAGTGAGCTAATAACGAGGAGGTTCAGTGAGATGAGCCCCTTGGGGAAGCAGATGAAGCCCAGAGAGAAAGGGGGCATCTGTCCCCGGTGCCATGGGCAGGAGGCCATGATGGATGTCAGCGCTGGCTGGTACCCAGGCAGGCAGAAGGTTGAGGGAATTCCATCATCACCTCTGTTTTTTCTCTCAAATAAAAGTTATCTGCTGTAAAGGAGGGATGACATGGAGGAGGAGGAAGCAGTTGGGGAAATGCGGGGAGGTTTCAAAATGGCCGTTTTGAGGAATCAATGAAAGAGAACAGACTGTGGACACATCCATGTTCTTGCCGATATTGAAACCTCCATTGACTTAAGAACCGTGACTGTGTGGTGGTAGGAATATACGTGTAGGTGGGATTTCTCCAAGAGCGATCCAGAGGCTGACATATAGGGCTGTCGATGGACTCTGCTAACCAGGTTTTAAAATACATTCTTTCCACTAGGGATTTTTTGAACTAATACCACAGGATCTCATCAAAATTTTTGACGAAAACGAACTAGAGGTAAGAAATATTCTTATTTTCAAACAGGATTTTTGTGCCCATTATTTTTCTTGTCTACAGTTTGACATTTCTTATCGCATAGCTTCTTATGTGTGGATTGGGAGATGTCGATGTGAATGACTGGAGAGAACACACAAAGTATAAGAATGGCTACGGTGTGAATCATCAAGTCATACAGTGGTTTTGGAAGGTAATTGAAAGCTTCTGTTTCCGTAAATTCCTTTTCAACAGATTCAATCATACTTAACCATACTAGTGGATTACACAGAGATAAGACAAAAAGTAACGGTGTACTGTATCCATCTACCTTCTGGGTATGGCTCCATCCTCCATACACATTTATAGATAAGTCAGTGTTCAGAATGTAGTAAATGGCAGGAACAACAGCAGTGGGCGCTTAGTCCCTTACCAACATGGAAACTATTCAAGAGAACTTGTAATAACCTGCTGGGTGTTCCCTGGGACTCCTGCATGGCTCCTTAAATGTGACTTTCCATCTAATCAAGACATGTGTATGTTACGCAATAATATCTGTAAATATAAATTTTTAAAAAGCCATGAGTCACATCCAAGAAGATATTTTTGTCACTTTATTAGGCTATGATCTCATTCTAGAGAGTTACCATGTAGCCTCAGAAATGAAGTTTCCAGGAACTTTGTAAGCCACCCAGAAACACATGTAAATGTAATAACTGATCATTAATACTGTAACTAAATTCTGATAACATATTTTTCAGGATAGTGCTGTTACTTTTTTCCCAGTGATATTCCTAAATGCTGTTTTTTTCTCTTATTCAGGCTGTTCTAATGATGGATTCAGAAAAAAGAATAAGATTACTTCAGTTTGTCACTGGCACCTCTCGAGTGCCCATGAATGGATTTGCTGAACTATATGGTAAGGGTTTTTCACACATCATTTAAAAATGGAGTGATGCCACTTGTCTTTTTCATTGATGATTACTTGTCAAGCTTCTATCATTTATACAAACACTGAGCTTAATAAAAAAAAGAATTAAGATTTTTAAATGTTTGGATTTGATACACAGAAGTAGGCCAGAATATACGTACACCTTCTAATCGGATACCAAAGGAAAAAACATGAAATCGCTCGAGTTCCTTTCCATTCTTGAGTTTTAAATTTGATTCCCACTACATATCCCATCACAGAAAAAGCATGTCTCTAGGGTGATGGTTTAGGGCAACATGTAATGTCCCACAGAATGTTAGTAAGTGTACAACAGAGAACAAAGAGTTCCATAGTGGAATACATTTGGGGCAAATACTGGACTAAACAAAATTGAGTAGATTTCTTTGGGACTCATTCAGAACCTTTACTATAAAAAAAAAAGAGGGGGTTCCAAAACTTATTTGATCATGGACTCTGTGTGTATATGTGCGTGCATGTGTGTGTGGTGTGTGGGGGGCTGTGCAGGACTGGTGATAAGACTGCACGTATCTTCCAATATTCAGAATAGTTACTACTAATGCAGTTTTCTATAAAGTGGAATTCTGCATATCCTAGCAAACTGTTTTCCAGTGGATATATCTCATAGCACTAGAGGTGTTTTTTGTAAAAAAACAAAACAAGAAACCTGCTGTTTCTGATGTAAATCACCTCAAATCAGTTAATATCTCTGTATTGGAATGACATTTACTTGCTTTTAAAGATACTATGAAGAACAAATCTTTCAGGGAAGGGGCTCTCTGGGGAGCCCCATGCAGAGCAACAACGAAGTTTAGAATTGTTCTGGGAACGATAAGTCACGACTTCCGCCTCAGTCATTGCTGAGCTGGATTTCTCACGCACAGAGAAAGCTGTTGCTGTCTGATGGGATCACTAGCCCCGTGGGTCTCCTTGGCAAACCTGGGCTCCTTAAGCTTCATGCATATTTTGCAGAACCTGTAAAGCATCTGCCATCCCGCCTAGAGTCACCACGCACAGTGAGAAGAACAAGACAGGAGCTCTGTGCTAACCCCTGCACCCCTTCTTGCCTAATTGGATTTCTTTGCCTTTGTCTTTTCAGTGGTTTCCCATGACTTCCCCCTTCCTTTCACTTCTCCTATATTTTAGCCAGTTACAGTGGGGAAAGAGCAAGGCCAGCCAAACACCTCTTTCCATGTCTAGCTCCACATCCCTCTTCTGTGCAGTCCAGGCCTATGGCCATCCACTGATTGCGTGAATTGTTTGGAATTTGGGGGAAATAACCACGCATGGAGCCAGATTGGAAGTATTAGAATATAATTCAAATTCGTATGCATTTTCAAAAAGAAGAAGTTGCTTCAAAATGTTAATATTGTAATACAGTATTCTCTAGCCAATAAAAAGTGTGTAAGGTTTGTATTGGTTGACTTAGAGGAAGTTTTCACAATGGGTCATTTAGGTGAGAGGATCAAGAGGCAGGGAAATATATATGATCCCATGTATGGGAAACAATGACAAAGATACTGAAATTTTAACTGTGAACATAATTATGATATGTGATGTGTGTTGTGTGAAAAGCAATGTTTTTTGAGAAAACTGTAATATCAAGAATATCCAGTATATTTAGTGCTGCTTCTGGCAGTTACACTCCCACGCATAATTAGCTATGATTATAAGACTCGGGGAAAAGTATGGAAGGTTCTACATCGGGTTGTCAGCACCAATTACCTGGGTGGTTGGAGGAATGTTGAGAATTGGGGGAAGGGAGAGCTAAGTGAAAACTCCAGAGGAAAAAAAGAGCTTCTGAAAGTGTCCATAATAAAAGAAAAATGTAGCATGGATAACATCACCTGCACACAAGATTCCATATATATATATATGTGCACATGTGCAAAACGATTCACAATAGAATGTTTACTCAGATTTAATAGTGGACTTTGAGACCATTCATTATATTTCTCTCTATTGCTTTAATTTTCTTGCAGTGAGATTAGATAATCAGAGAAAAATTAAAGCTATTTTTGGTGGGACTGAAGAAAGAAAGAAATGCCTCATTTTCTCTGTGTACCTATGAAGGAGGTGGTCCTAGGGAAGCGCAGGGCTAGGAAAATTTCAAAAGTCCCGTCAGGCCTGCCACCCTAGAGGCAGAGTGAGACGGTGGCCACAGAGGAGCCGATGAAGAGGAATCTTCATCTTGTGGCTGGACAATGAAGCCATCGAGGACGGGACAGCCTTCATTTCTTTGGAGTTCAAAGAAACTTGTTCTCTGGACATTTAAGTTCTACATTGGAAATAATGAGTTGTGAAATTCTAGGGAATTCCTATAAAGAATAGATGAGACCCCAGCAACTCTTATTCCTTACAGGCTCAAATGGACCACAGTCATTTACAGTTGAACAGTGGGGTTCCCCGGAAAAGCTGCCACGAGCCCACACATGGTAAGCAGTTTTTTCAACATTTAGAGAACAAGTTTTCAGAGAGTGAAGCTCCTCTAACAGTCTAGGGACAGAAGGTGTAGCCCGCTCTGTGCTGTGTCAATGGCAGCTATGGGGGGTGCGGGGGGGAGAGGCAGAAACAGCAACACAGGAACAGGTGCATCTTTGCCAGCCAGGCCTGGGCTTGAAGTCTGGGTAGCTGAACAGTGGAGAGGCTCATCTCAGCCGTTGACCATGTGTTGCCCTCCATCGCATGAATGATGGGCCATCCCAAGAGAAGCTAGAACATTCCCTTTTGGAGGTTAAAATAACAGAGGACCCCAGGCATTTGGAGGTCGTGATGGGAGTGAGAGGACCCCGCCAAGAAGTCGTGGGATTAGTCCATGCCTAGCGCCCAGTGCTGTTACCTTCCTTGTCTCCGGTGATATAATGTCCTCTAGTGTTGTGGGTGGAACATACCATGAATAGCAGCGGTCCTGTTGGCCGTCGTGGCACTTGCTTTGTCAGTGTCTGTCCTAACCAGGTCCTCACTGTTCTTTCAGCTTTAACCGCTTGGACTTGCCGCCCTATGAATCATTTGAAGAATTATGGGATAAACTTCAGATGGCAATTGAGAACACTCAGGGCTTTGATGGCGTCGATTAGATTCCAAATAACAATCTAGAGTGTTTCACTGCCACTTTTGTATAAGCAAAATCTTGACTTAAAATTTTCCAGGGAACTACTAAAACTTGGCCTTTGTTTCTTCCCAGATACTGGAGAAAAATCATATAAAAGCATTAGAAGAAAGAGTTTGACAACCTTACCATTATTTCATTCATTTTTACAACAGTATGTTGCATTGACACAGCTGTTTCTTTCCATCTTTAGAGTTCCCACTCTAGGATTTAAATCCCATGTGCCTGAAATAGTGAGTTGTGTCCTTAACATTTACCTCTTTTACAGTATTTACCAGGCAGATCTTCCTTAAACTACTGAAATTATAACTGTGAAATATTTGTGATAAGTGTCATGTGTGAAAAGTTGGATGCTTTTTGAGAAGGAAAACTGAAATTTGGAAAAGAATACTTTAATATTGATTAAACTACAATATACTTCATGATGCCTACAGCTATTATTATTCTGTAGACCTGCCTACTTCACCTTACTGCCCAGATTTTTGAAAAAAAACCTTGGAAAATGTGTTACCTATCTTTTTAGTCCACTGACTCACTTGCAAAAAAAAAATTGTTTACTTCTTCATTTTAAAAGTATTTGGCTTTTGTTAATATGTAGCTTTACTAAACGAGGTGGTTTATAAGACATGAAGCGAATTCAGATTCGCAAAGTGTGAAAAGTATTAACGCCTCCATCTTGCCTGTATATCCTTTTGATTCACTGGCATAGTCAGCACTCCTTCCTGTTTAAGGTAAAAGAATTCCTTCTTCGGACATTACACTAAAGCTCCGCAGAGCAGTATTTCTAAATATGCCTTGAAGAGCTAAGTTAAATGTATAGTACTTGCCTTTACTAGTCATTCTTTACACTTGCCCAATTATGTAGTAAATATGTTTACAGAACATGTTTATTATGTTTACAGATTAAGCTAATTTCTGTGGTTGCATTTTTATATTTTTAGTATCTCTCTTTAGTCAGAAAAACCAAATAATTTGTTAAAAATAACCAAAGAATTGTTATAATGCATAATTTGTATTAAATTTATTACTGTATTTCTTACACTTTTTAAAAAATACTGTTTACTATGAAAATGATGTTTTACTATAAATCCAAAACTCTCTAAGAAAAATGCTACAAGCAGAATCCTACTTTAACCAAATTGAAGTACATACAAATCACGCGCATGCATTCAACAAATGTGTGCTGAATGCCTGCTGTGTGCCTAGCCCTGCGGAAGGCCCTGGAGTAAGACCTGTGCGCTTCAGAGAAAGCTAGCTCAGGCCTCACCTCCAGGAACTTATGGACATGTAAATGAACTTGTGAACAATCCAAAGTAGGGGTGAGCAGAAAGAGGCAAAAGGGAAAGTGCTCTGTGCACCTGCATGGATAAAGTTTGCCAAGACTTGTATTTATATGTTTCATGTGTATATTCGAATGATGACATAGAAAACGCTCTTGCAAAAAGTTAAACCTATTTCTCAGTATGATGTCTTGGCGATTTAGGAATAATTGTAAATATATGTTATGAATCTTCTTAAATACATATGTATACTCGGAGAGTTGTAAGAACTGCAGCTGGCTATTGGTTTAAGTTCGTGGGGTACCTGTCGGCACCTGCTAAAGATCTCAAATGGGACAGCAGCAAAACCACTTTCCAAACACCACATCTCCAGCGGGGCCAAGGGAAAGTAATGGACAGATGAGTGCACCCTGTGTTTCATCTTCACCCCAGCATTCAGGCAAGGCCACCAGATGTAGTACTAGTTTTATCACTTACCAACTGTTGAAACTGAAGCAATTTACTTAACCTCTCTGGACTCCTGTTCTTTCACCTGTCAAACGAGAACAATCACACCCACACTCGTCATCAGGGAAGCTTGTTATAAGCTCCAGAGAGCCACTTTGTAAAGTATGATACAATCAGAAGATGCTTTGTACTTTGTGCTGACCATCAGATTTTGTCAAATCAGGTATGCACACCAGCTACACTCCCAAAGAAGAATCTCTTCATTTAAAAATAAAATGTCTCCTAATAGACAAAGAAGTAGGAACATCTCTGATATTGAATATGTGTGTGTGTGTTTATATATACCATCAGAATTCATTTTCTCCACATCAGCAAAGTAATATTAATATGGGCCAATGCATTTTGAAATGTCCTCATTATAGAGAACTTAATGTGAAAACTATTTTTGTTGAAACAGGATCTTACCACATATGTTTTAAGTATCATTTCTGTGAAATATCAGAGCAGATCAGAGCTAAAGAAAATATAAAGCTTGCTTTCCCTAATACTTACTTGGATGATCCTGTGACTCAGATAAAACAAGGTGTTAATGAGACCAGACACTCCCACAGCTCCCAGCCACGGACCATCATCCCCTTCGTCTCGAGGTGTAGGCTGGGGTCTGGAAGGAACCTGTATCAAGCCACACAGCCTCTCATCCCAGATAAAAAAGTGTCTCAAATGCACTCTACAGCTGGAGAGTAAATAGAGTCATTTTCATAAAGCAAGGACGTTCTATTTTTCTAGAAATTATGAGCACATAATTTTAGCCTATATTTTCTCTGTAATCAAACGAACTTTAAAATAGACATAAAATTGTAAAACAAATGCATTTCATCCTAACTCAAATTTAAGTGGTATTTGTTTTCATTTTTTATTTATAATGCTGAAATTGTTCTACATAATTATCAAGTTAAACACAATTTGTTTTGATTATAAACCATTTGATTGTTCTTAAAAATCTTCCCATATGGTGAATATATATCAAGATTAATGTACAAATTTATTGCATACTTTAAAGTATAAAATCATTTTTAAAAATCTTGATGCCACAAATAAAGTTCTATTCTAAGAAAAACAAAAACTGATTCATTTTTATTTTTATTTTTTAAAGGTTCTCTCTTTTTTAAGTTTATTTTAGAGAGAGAGAGAGAGCATGGGGGCAGGGTGGGGCAGGGAGAGAAGGAAAGAGACTGCGCAGAACCAGATGCGGGGTTCAATCTCACAACCCCAAGATCATGACTAGAGCTGAAGCCAAGTGTCAGTCGCTCAACTGACTGTGGCACCCAGGCGCCCCACTGTGATTCATTTTCAAACAGAAATTTTCCAAGCCAGTATTCTGGGAGATAGCTTCTGGTCTGGTCCTTTGCAGCCACATATGGAATTCTCAAGACCACCTTGAATGTGTGTCTGATGAATTGGCATGATTATAAATTCATAATCCCAGATAATCTCCGCTTTACAAACAGGTCATATTCCAAAAGCCTGGTTGTTAGTGAAAGATCCAGAAGAGAATATAATAACAAAGTTACAAATGGACTGGATTTCAGACAGGCTGTCGCTCTGTGGAGAAGCCAGCTTGTAACCAAACCATTATTTATAAACTTGTTTCTATGAAAGAAGGAGTTCCAAGCACTAATGCAGAAGTAAGTATCATTTCCTCCTTCCTCTATGCACCTGGAAGTTTCCCAGTTCGAAGGGAATCCCAAACTAACTCAAGCCAACCCCTGGAAGGTTCCAGCCCCCTGTTTGTGCTAAAAATCCAGACCATAGCTTTTAATCCTTGGGAGTCAGCCCACTTCCCTCTCCGCTTCTGCCCCTTCAGGGCTAACCAGCTCCGCAGAAATGAGCCCACGCTACGCCTCCCTGTACAGGAAAACTTGGCTTTGCAGGCCACCAGGGGCAGACACATTCCTCTTATAAAGGACATTAAACTAAATGTTCGAATCTCAGGGCCGCGCTATAGATAAAGGGCTCCAGTAGATTTGTGTGTATTTTTCTTGGAAGTTAAAGAGTAGCACTAAATTAGCTGCCTGTTGGGTTCTTCCAGTCTCTTCATCTGCGATCCATCCTGTGCAGGCCCTCCATCCCACACCACTGTTTCTAGCATGTAAATCCAATCAGGTTGCTCTGCCGAAGAACCTCGGAAAGCTCCCCGGGACCCGAAGCCTGAAGCCCAGCCCATTGGCATGACATGCAGGCTGCCCTCCCACCTTCCCTCCCAGCCCACCCAGGCACCCTGTGCTCCCCCCAAACCAGGCCTCTGTCCAGCCCCTGCTGACTGCAGCCTCTTCCACCCCGGCTCTCCCAGCATCCTTCACCCCTCGTGGGTACCTGAGAGTCTCTCTTAGACCAGAGGAAAGGTGCTGCGGCCCCAGCATGAATACCATGAATAGCACGGTGTTGCAATGCTTTGTTTGCATAATTCCCTCCTACAGACTTTTGGGCAGCTTGAGGACAGCCTATCTCGTATACATCTGTTTAATATGTGCGTTTCCCAAAACAAATACTTGATGAATATGATGATCTGATGAATACTGTTTCTGCATACAACCCAGCCCACATGTTCTGAGCACCTACAGGGTCCCTGGCTCTGTGCGACAACATGCAGGAAGCTCTGTACGGAGGGCGACACGGGGAACTATATAAATACACAGTAGAGAGAGAGCTTGACTGAGATCCTGCTGAGCACCGGGGGCTGCAGTAAACACTTTACGTGGATCCCATTTAATCTTCATAAAAACTCAGTGAGGCAGGGTTTATAGGCTCAAGAAGGACAAGCAATTCACCTGAGGCCACACAGCTTGTCAACTCAGTGGATTATGAACCACAACAAAATCAGGAAAGCTATGGGATCCAACAAACAAATTACCATGCTTGTCTAGTTTCCTATTGTGGCGAAATAAGTGACCACACACTTAGCAGCTAAAATCAACACTCATTCATTATCTCAATCCAGTAGGTAAGGAAGTCCACATTGGCTCAGCAGGGTTCTCTGCTTAGGATCTCCCAAGGCCCAAATCAAGGTGCCAACCAGCTGGGTTCTTATACGCTCCCATGATCCCTCGGGTTGTTGACAGTATCCAATTCCTTGTGGCTATGGGTCTAAGGTCCCCATTTTCTCCCTGGCTGTCAGCTAGGGGCCACTCTTAGCTTCTAGATGCCACCTCCATCTTCAAGCCAGCAGTGGTGTGTGGAATCCTCAAGCTTGGAATCTCCCCGATGTCCCCTTCTGCCACCAGGTAGAGAACGTTCTCTACTTTTCAAGGCTCACTTGAAGCGATGAAGCCCACCTGGATAATGTCCCCCTTTGAAGGCTGACTGTGCCATAGGCATAACACAATCAAGGAGGGAGATCTGACATTCACATTGCAGGGATTGGACACTTAACTGTTGGGGGCTATTACTGGAAATTCTGCCTCCCATAAAGGTAAAGGTAAAGAATAGCAAAGGCTTGGGGCTCCTGGGTAGCTCAGATGGTTAAGCGCCTGCCTTCGGCTCGGGTCATGATCCCAGGGTCCTGGGATCGAGCCCCGCATCAGGCTCTGTGCTCAGCGGGAAGCCTGCTTCTCCCTCTCCTGTCCCCCCTGCTGGTGCTCTCTCGCTCTCTCTGTCAAATAAATAAATAAAATCTTAAAAAAAAAAGAATAGCAAAGGCTTGTGGAGATACAACTTGAAAAACACTGAAATATATCTAATTTTAGAGTGCACGGTTCAGTTTTCCATTCACTGTCGATGAAGTGCCAGGTAGCTGAACTGATGCTAATATCCACTGGTAAGATTCAACTTCGGCAGCTGGTAATTCACAAATCAGTGTTCTCGGGCGAGCCACTGGTTTCCTTTTTTATTCAGTGGCATCAAGGTTGGATTGGCCTGAAATTAGATTCAGCTCATCCTTAGGAGCCTCCTTATTATATAAAGAGAAATAGGGGCGCCTGGGTGGCTCAGTCGTGAAGCGTCTGCCTTCGGCTCAGGTCATGATCCTGGGGTCCTGGGGTCGAGCCCCGCATCCCGCATCCGGCTCCCTGCTCCGCAGGAAGCCTGCTTCTGCCTCTCCCACTCTCCCTGCTTGTGTTCCCTCTCTAGCTGTGTCTCTCTCTGTCAAATAAATAAGATCTTTAAAAAAAAAGAGAGAAATAAAAAAAATCAT